ACACTGCATATATTCTTCTTAGTGGTTAATTGCTGTACAAGATGCGGACTTGAGATCCTATTTACAAACACCACTAGAACAAATCATTCTATTCATTAAGAGAATGCAACTATATATCTATCCTAACCACTTTGAATACACAGATACAAAATAGACATTCATCTGTCTACCCAATTTTTTTCTAAGTTCTGTTATTGAATATTATAGGTGTGTAAACTCAGCAAAATATTCTAAAAGAGTCCAGTAGCCCATAATAGCATTAGGTCTTCTGTTCAACTGGCAATGTCAGAAATTATTGACCTGAGTCCCCCACAGCTCAACATAACAGCATGGCTTTACTTCCTATATTTTGTCTTCATACTTTTCTACTGGATGGTTAAGACCAAGGTAAAGCAGGACCTATGCAACAAGAGTTGTAGCTTTTTGGTCTGAGAAGGTCAGTGAAATCCCCTCAGGATTTATCCTGAGATCCTGTATCTCAGATTGTAGAACCTTCAGACAAAGTGAATTTTAAGCCAAGACTGGTTAAAAGAAACAAGTTCACTTAACCACACAGCTTTCAGTGGTCCCCAGGAAAAACAAGGGTATGAAGAAAATATAGACAGGAGATGAAAGCTGAGGTCAGGTGGAACACTCTCCTGATGAGAGAAGAGGAACTGGACAACCATTATAGGGGCATTTATACATTTGACAAAGTTAATATCACACATACAGGGTTCCCTAGCAACCAATGACTAAATGTCTCAGGCAAGATGATTTTTCTCAGCACTGAGGTAGCTTGATTACTTTAGGCACTATGTCCTTGTGTTGCCCCTACACATATGACCAATTTCAGGTTGAGCTTCTTCCTACAACTATATCCTTGGATAGGTAGCAAACCAAGAGGACAAGATAACAATTATAAATATATATGAAACAAATATCAAATGTACCCAACTAGATTTCTGATTCCTTGGCCACTGTGGCACCTATGAAAAAGCTTGTGACGAAGGGCAACAAAAGAAAGAGGCAGATCCTGAAGTTCACCCTTGATTGCACACATCCTGTAGAAAATGGTATTATGGATGCTACCAGTTTTGAGCAGTTTCTCCAGGAAAGAATCAAGGTGAATGGCAAAGCCAGGAATCTTGGTGGAGGGATGGTCACCATTGAAAGGAGCAAGAGCAAGATCCCCGTGACTTCTGAAGGACCTTTTTCCAAAAGGTTCTTGCTGACTTCCTCAGTTGGGACTTGAACCTGGGATCTTCTTGCTTCAACCTCCCATAATTCTTGGCTATCAGGTGTATACCATCATTCCTGGTATTTGAAATATCTCACTACAAAATATTTGAAGAAGAATAATCTGTGTGACTGGTTGCATGTAGTTGCTAGCAGCAAAGAGAGTTATGAATTACATTACTTCTAGATTAACCAGGACAAAGAGGAGGAGGAAGATGAGGATTAAAGCTCCTTTGTCTGGAATATTTTTAATGAGTTCTTGAATAAAACTTGAGAGCCAAAAGAAAACAAAAAACAGAAAACAAATGTACCCAACCATATAAAACAAATATTAGCTGACATGAAATATCAAATGAGCACTAATTCCATTTGATGGGAGGACCTCAATACCCCAATATCACAAATAGATCAACTAGACAAAAAAATCAACAATGAAACATTAGAACTGAACCATATTTTTTAACAAATGGGCATAACAGATGTTTACACAATGTTCCACTCAAAACATAAGAATACACATAATTCCTCAGCTGGACAAAGTATGTTCTTCAAAATAGACTATGTACTAGCTCAATAAACATGCTTAAGTAAAGGCAGAGGAATTAAAATTTTGCCATGCATATTATCAGATGATAGTGCAGTGATTTGGAAATAATTGGCAAAAGAAACCACAAGAACTTTATAAACACATGGAAATTAACCCCCTCCTGAACAACCAATTGGTCACAGATGAAATTAAAGCAGAAATTAGACAGTTTCTACAATTAAATGAAAATGACAGTACAACATATTAGAACTTATGGGACACAATGAAAGCAGTCCTATGAAGGAATTTATTGCCATGAATACCCTTGTCAGGGAAACAGAGCAAACTGAAATAACTTAATGTTGAACCTCAAACTTCTAGAAAAAGAACAGCAGGCCAAACAAAAAACTCATATGATGGAGGAAATTATAAAGATCAGAGCAGAAATTAACACAATGAAGACTAAGAAAGCATTGCAAAGAATCAATGAATGAAAGAGTTGGTTCTTTGAAAGAGTAAATAAAATTGACAAAGCTTTAGGCAACCTTATCAAAAAAAGGAAAGAGAAGACTCATCCACACAATTGGAAATGAAAAGGATGAAAACAGAACAGATCCTGCAGAAAGCTATAGGATCAATAATACCTATGCCAAGAACCAGTGTTCTAATAAGACAGAAAACAGAAGAAAAGGGCAGATTCTTAGATATATACAAATTATCAAAACTGAATCAAGAAGATATAAAAACCCGAAATAAACTAATATCCATTGGTGAAATTGAAAATATAATTAAAAGCCTACCAGCAATGACAGATTCACTGCTCAATTCTTCAAGAAATTCAGAGAAGACCTAATACCACTACTTCTCAAACTCTTTAATGAAATTGAAAGAGAGACAGTATTCCCTAATTCATTCCAAGAAGTAAGCATTACTCTGATATCAAGACCAGAGAAGGACCTAACTAAGAAGACAACTACAGACAAATCTCCTTAAAGAACATGGACACAAAAGTCCTCAATAAGATACTGGCAAACATAATGCAGGAAATCATTAAGATTATACACTGTGACCAAGGGGCTTCATCCCAGGGATGTGGTGATAGTTTAGGGTACACAAATTAATATACATTAACATAAACTAGGACAAAAATCTTATGATCATCTCAATAGATGCAGAAAAGGGCCAGCTAAATAGCTCAGCAGATTAAAGCACCTGCAGACAGGTGCAGGGGCCAGGGATTTTATCCCTGGGCCTGCCTCTGGGGTGTGCTGAGACAGCAGTTGAGACTGGCATGGTAGCATACGCTTATAATCCCAGCTCTTGGGAGGCTACAAACAGGTGGATCACTATGAGTCTGATGTAGTACACCCTGTAGACCCTTCCCTAAAAATAAATAAATAAATAAATAAATAAATAAATAAATAAATAAAGGAAAAGCTTTTGACAAAGTTCAGCACCCATCAAATTAAAACCCGTATAGAAAATTGAAACAGACAATCTTTATCTCAATTTGATAAAAGCCCATCTATGACAAACCAAGCACCAACACCATACCAAACTGACAAAAACTGAGTTTTTACTCTAAAATCGGGAAAAAAGCAAGTATGGCCAGTGTCACCACTGTTATTCAATATGATTATAGAAACAGAGCAATTAGAAAAGAGAAAGAAATAAAAGGACTAAAAATAGGAAAGGAAGAGGTTAAATTATCATTATTTTTGGATGATATAATATTTTGCATGAAAAACTACAAAAACTCCACCAAAAGACTTCTAGATTTAGTAACCAAATTCAGTAGCATAGCAGGATAAAGAATCAACTCTCAGAAAGCAATAGCCTTCATGTACAGGAATAACAAACTCACTGACAGATAAATTGGGGAAATCACACCCTTTCAAAGAGAATCCCAAGCAATAAAATGCTTAGGAATAAGTCTAATGAAGAAAGTAAAAGATGTCTACACTGATAGCTGCCGTACTCTGAAGAAGAATATCTAAGAGGACATCAGCAAATGGAAAGAGACCCCTTGCTCTGAGCAGGAAGAAGCAATATAATGGAAGCTCTCATATTCCCATAATTGTCACACGGATTTAATGCAATTCTGACCAGAATTCCAATAGTATATTTCATAGAAAAATAAATCTGGAGCCAGAAGAGACCTAGAATAGCAAAGGCAATTCTGGGATACAAAGACTGGCAGGAGGATCCACAACCCCAGAGTTAAAATTACAGTACAAAGCTACTGTGGTAAAAACAGCATCATACTAGCAAAAAAAACCTTCAAGAATCAATAGAACAGATGAGAAGTTGAAAAACCAACTGAAGCATATTTAGCTATCTTACCTTTGACAAAGGTGCCACACATTCACAGGATTAAAGATAGCCTCTTTAACAGGTGGCACTGGAAAAACTGACTTTGCACATACTGAAAATTAAAATTTGACCCATATCTTTCACCATACACTAAAGTCAAAATAGATGGAAGGTGTAAATATTAAAACCAAAACATTAAATCTGCCCAAAGGTAGAACTCTTGAAGACATTGATGTAGGCAAAAGCTTTTGAACAAAACCCTAATTACAAGGAACTGTCACAAAAATCAACAACTGGAGCATCTTAGTAAAAAACTTTTGTCTAGCAAGTGAAACTGCTACCAGAGTGAAGAGACAGCATGCAGTGTGGGAAAAAATTGCCAGTTGTTCCTCAGACAAAGGTTTACTATCGAGATCACATAAAGAAGTAAAAAAATGGACTCCCCACATTTGAAGACTCAATCCAAAAATGGGCATCTGAAATGAATACACATTTCTCAGATGAAGAAGTACACACAGCAAATAAATATATACAAAAATGTTCACTATTGTTGGTTATTCAAAGGATGCAAATTAAAAGTGCTGAGTTTCCATCTCACCTGAGAAAGAAAGGAGCCTTCTCCACTGTTGGTAGTCATTTAGACTGGTGCAGCTACGGTGGGGATCAGTGTGGAGCTTCCTCGGGAAAGCAGGACTAGAGTTTCCGTTTCCCTAAACGTCCCTTTTGGAGCATCTTCCCAAAGGACTAAAGGCATCCGACTGTGGTGATACATGCGCACACGTCTATAGTGGCAAGGTGTAGAGGGGCCAGCCCGGGCGGACAGCCCACGTTCACAGCAGCTGATGCACAGACAAGGAATGTGGGGGTTATAAATGAGTACTGTTCTCCTGTTACAGAAGGATAAGCTTGAGACATTCGTAGGTCAATGGATACACCTTGAGACCACAATCTTAAGTAAAATAAACCAGACACACCATGTAAATCCCACATTCTTTCCCTGATATGAGGAATTGAAAGTGTAAATGGGAACCAAAATGTATATTAGATATTGTGAAATAGAAGGAAATGTTGAAATGGGGAGGGGAACAAAGGAAGGAATGAGGAAAAGGAAAAAAGTAAACAGAAATAAAAGTGAAAAAGGTAAAATGGGAAAAAGTAAAATGGGCACAAAGCATTTGTAAATGGGCAGAGGAGGGGGTAAAGGGAGAGTAGGGAAATGGGAAAAAGCATATCATGCACAGGTACAAATTTATATGTTGAATATGATCATTATGTACATCTAAAATGTAGTAATAAAATAAAAAAGAAAAAAGAAATTGGCCAGACCTCACCTTTTATAGGCTCAGGGTGTGAAAGGGTAAATTAATTTGAATGTCTTTGCCTTGAGAGCTCCAGAGTGTGCTGCTCATTCACAGAAGTTTTCCCCTGGGTTCAGCCATCTAGGTACTAAGTGGGCACTGAACCTGTGATCCAAAGGGGCCAGGCTACTGTTTGACTTGATGGCAAACTGTAGCATCACTTATGCAGAGCTTCAGAGAAAGGCATAGGAGATCAGATACTGTGCTCCTGAGAGCTGGGAAGGCCTAAAGATCAGTGGCGGACACTAGAAAGTCTGTACCAGCGGGATGAAGGATCTGTGCTAGCAGCTGAGGGATCTGAACTAGAGAGTCAGGAAGCAACATTCAAAGTAACCACCATATCTCCCCCGAAAGGTACCACAGCTGTTCTCGGGGACAGTGAAGTTCCAAGCTCCTCCAATGGCGAGAATAGGAGAGCTCTTGCCAGGAAAACCAGTGTGGTAAGCTTTTCCAGGAGACTGAGCAGAGTACCATCTTCTCCTCCGTAGCCAGGAATTGATACTCAGAGTGAGGACCAGAGCTTCTCCAAAGTGAGCCATAGCCATTCTCAGTGACAACAAGGTGCTAAGCTCCTTCAATGATGAGAACAGCTAAGTTCATCGGGAAAGCCAGCATGACAAGCTCCTCTAAGTGAACCAACAGTTCCCATCAACTTTCTTAATAGCTTCCAGCAGCTTGCAAACAGCTTCACTAACAGCTTTTCTCCTTTTTTTTTTAATGTATTTAGTACAGGGTCTACAGGGTCTCACTACACAGATCCACCTCATAGTGATCCTCCTGTTTTCACCCACCCAAGAGCTGGGATTACAGGCCCCCCCCTACCATGCCCAGTCTCAATTCCTGTCCACAGCATGCCGGGGATCCAACTGGGTCTCTGTGTCTGCCTAAGCAGGCACTTTAATCTGCTGAGCTAACTGGCCAGCCCTCCTTCTCTTCTTTCCCTCTCCTCCTTCTCCTTCTCCTTCTCCTTCTCCTTCTCCTTCTCCTTCT